CTGACTTCAGACGAGTACATTATAAAATGCAGATGAAAGGAGCACTTCAAAGGCAGGAATGGGTCAGATAAATAAAGATAGCACCATCATATGATTCCAATACATCCTCCAAAAAGAAGATGTACATGTAGACGGTGAAGAGACTTAGAGCCCTGCTGTCTTTTACTTTAAAAAGCTTGCAAGTTTAACTCATCTACTCATTCAACAGTGAACACAGTATTGCAATGGTATCCAAAGTGGTAACATATTAGAAGCATTAGTGCAGACTATGTATATAATTAGCAAAAAGAACAGGACTGGGTTTGACTGTTACACATTCCAGTCATTTTAATGGCATGCATCTTGATACATTACCTGCTCCTATTTATCCACTCAGGTTGCAGAATGAGTTACCTGCCTGTGCACTACTGACCCAGAAAATCCTCTCTGCTCTCTCACAAGTCTCCACAGCTACTCCATAGATTCTGTACTAGCAAGTCTGGATTATGTTGCTTATGCTTAGCCCATGGCTGAGTTGACACCCTGACTACTGAACTGAGTTGAATTGTTTAAGAAAGAAACCCAGCAAAATCCTGTTTTTTAACATGGACTATTTCAGTAATCTTACGCACACAGTCTTTCTGCAGGAGGTTTTTTTCAGAACTGAGTGGGTGGCAAACTGCAGCATGGTGTAGGAAAAGAGAAGCCAGAAACTTCAGAATTCTGCTCTGCTGCTGAAGATATTGTTCTATGAAACTGTAACAAAAGATGCTTACTGGGAGAAGAGAGAGAAGCAGTGTAAGTCATGGCTAAGAGAAAAATACTTTTTTTTCTTTTTTCTTCTTTAAATCTACAAAATAGGGGAAGAAAAGTTCACAAAGCTTCCAAGTCTTGGAAATTATAGAAAGAAAACCCCCTCAACATCCTCAGTTGAGACGTTTTGCCACAGATCTGAGGCATGGCCTTTTAAGGGACAAAGCTGAAGTGAGTTTTCAGGGTTTCCTTTTTGTCCTATGACCCTTCAGAAACTGGCCTTGGACAAAAGGTCAGTCCTGTGGGGTGGAAGAATCTGAGAAGCTTAGAGTCTGTTGCTCCAGAATACACCTGGTATAGTAGAAGGTTTATTTCTCATCCACCATGAATAAACTCAGAATTATTAAGAGAAATGTCATTAACTCAAAATTTTATGTAGCGGCTGGGGAATCTGCTGAGATATACTTATCAGCTGAGGTCTGTTTTACAACCTCTGCACATAACTCAGACCATCAGCTCATGTTGGCTCAGCCTTTCACTGACAGGGACTGTGTCACGTATCCAACAGGGCGCTGGAAGCCGCCAGCAGGCAATGGGGGCAAGCGGCTGACACAGGCCACCGTGGCCCTGGCAGAACAATGAAGCTGCTGTGGAGGTTGGCCCTGCAGAAGGAAACTCACTTCTCCCAGGTTGTCCGAGGGGAGGGACACTGAAGCAATGGAAATTCCCCAGCAGTAAAGGAGAACAAAAGAGGTGTTGGAAGCTGCTGTTAAAAAGAGACAGGCTTTCTAAACCTCCTGGCTGCCAGACTTGGACAGCTTCTTCCAGGGCCTGAAAGAGGAGAGGAGGGTCCCCTGGCTGACAGAAAACCTCATTGCTCTGCAGGATGCAATCCCCCAGGAAGTGTGGATTAAAAACTACTCCCTTACAGAGAGGGACAGAGGTTTAGAGTTCCCCATTGGGGCACAGGCTGAGAGCGAAGCCACTGCTAAGGACCCTCCTGAGACCACGGGTGGCCCTGGGCTGGGCAGAGCCCCTCATAGCAGAGCCAGTCGTGAACCCCCCCACTGCCCCACAGCCAAGACCTGGGCTCCACACAAGTGCACATCTCTTGTTTTTGCATGGGTCTGGAAGTCTCTAGATTTCCTCCGCTGATTAAAAGGTGTGGCTGCTGAAGAAATTAGTTTACAGAGCCTCCAAATTCCTTACTGCCGTTGTCATATGTCTGCAACAGGAGTATCTGTAAGGCCAGGGCGCGGGGAGGGGTGTGCTGTACAAGGGCTGGGGCTCTGCACTGCTCTGGGACCACCAAATCCCCCTTTCTAGCAGGAGGAACTCTGCAAGGACTCTGCACCTGGAGAGGAAACTTGAGGAGTAATCCATATATATGCTAGATTAAACTATCTGGTAAAAATCCCTCAAACCCACAAATATCCTTCCCTGAAAAACAGAATAAAATAAAATAAAATAAACCCTGTGATTTTACAGCTAACTTTTCTTGGTAGTACAGCCATAACTGGTGTTTTTACTGAAACAAAAGGACGAGTTACATTGATTTATAAATTCATTAAAACATCAGGAGAAAAAGCAGTGGCTAAGTACTCCCATTAACTGCCATGGCTTCTGGATCAGGCCCAGAAGAATGCTGGAATAAGTCGTGAAACATTTTATTTTCTAACTTTTTAGTGGCTACTGCAAACAATGGAAAATACAAGCACATACTTAGAATAACTCTATCCTTTGCAAAATGAGATCACACCTAAAAATACTTCCTCTTGTTGCTGTATAACTTCAGTTTATGATAATAGCTATTACACACATATAGTGAAGAGGAAAAAATAGCTTCCCAAGTGCTGGGTAAAAACTTGATACCGTATTGTAGAGTTTCTGCTACAGAAGGAACTTTTAAAAACTGTAATGATTCAGACTACTTATTCAAATACCAGAACAGACACTCCAATTATTGCATGGACAACATGAAATAAGGCACTACAAAGCCAGGGGTTTGAGTTAACAAATTATTGTTTGGAGACATGAAAACCTACATGATGATGATGATTCTTTGTATCAAAATTATATCAACTGTTAAGAAACAACTGCAAAACATATCTGAATTTTAGTTTTCCAGTTTGAAACAATTAGTGCTATTATTTACATCCCCACACATAAGCCCACACAGCCTGAACTTCCTGGGATATACATGTGCTATTAATGTTCAACTTTGCTCTACGATCCAAGCCTGAATCATCGGGCCCTGTCACTTTCTAGCGCAAAGGCTGTGTTTTGTACACTTATTCTAGAGACTGTTCCAGTGCCCTGGCCTCTCAAAGTGCAAAGGTATTTTTTCAGGAGTTTACATTTTACTTTTTTAAGCCATCTCTTACACTTAAATTTCCTTAGCAACTTCCAAAGCAGCCGACTTTCGCAGCTGTGCTGCTGTGCTACAGGTTTCATCATTGCTTGACCAGAGAAAAGTGTCGGTTAAGTTAAAATTTCCATTTAGAGTGATTTCCTACAATGTTGCATCAGTTCCCTGCTGAGTAGCACAGGCCTAACAGCAAATAATATTTCCGTAACCTGAAGAAGAGTAAATTATCATTTATAGAATATGTCAGCACTGACTTTCTTAAGACAAAAGCAGGATTTTCTTATCCACTTTCCTCAACTCCATTACCTATAGAGAGAATCGGTTTGGCTTTTCATTCTAAAACTGTCAGCGAGATTCATTTCAAAGTGTGCAACCCCCCAAAATACAGAAAAACGGACGAGAGTAAAGGCAAAGTTGCTGCAGGAATAGAAATACGTGCAATTGCTTTAGAGAACATGGAGCTGACCCTGCTCCCTTCTCTCAGTGGGAATTTTACCACTGACTCCAGTGAAAGCACAGCCAGGCTGGTGATTTTCTAACACTTGAAGATAAGTATTTGTACTTTAAAATGCAGGAATAGCCTCCTGCTCTGGTCCAGTTCTCAGCCTGAGGCTGTAGCCCTGCCAGCACTGTTAATGTCATTGTTTGCGAAGCGTATTCCCAGTCTTGCGTACACCCACGCTGGGCTCCCAGCTCCCGGCCGCGATGTCCCCCCCGCCTCATTGTTCCAGCTCCCCCTGCTTCCTCAACTCCCGCCCGTCCCCCACCATTGTTGTCCCCCTGCACCCACCCTGCATTGTTCTCACGCCTGCCTGCCATCCCCACCTGGGAGGGACCCTTCCTCCCTCCCACTCCCCGCAGCAGATCACGCTCCTTTCTTACCTACTTCCATATATTCTGCTGACCTATTGGCACCAAAACTTTTCCCCTTTCTGAAAGTGCATTACATAAATTATCGTCACTAGATCCCACAGCTTTTGCATGTTGTGGGCGCTCTGCCTTGAGAAGCCCATCTAAAGTCTCTTAAACAACAAGAAGATTCTTTCATTGCTATGGACTTTAGATCAAACCCCGCATAAGGACTGACAGCATTACTGCATTTTCAGACATGATATAAAAGGCTAAAGAAAAAATGTCGCTATAGAACAGAATTACATAACAATACAGACACATAGGAATTGATATTACATCTTCACAATATATATGTACAGAAATGAATGGCATGATGCTCCATGGGCTCCATTGCTACAATAAATAAAAGCTAAATGCTTTCTAAACTGTGCTTTTTCTCTTTCATTATAAAAGTTAAAAATGAACTTCTAAAGAAACCAAGACAAGGCTTGCATTTATGTAGTCAAGTGTTAACTGCAGATAGATTTCTAAACCACTTTATTTATACATGTAGATCTGTGTCCATACATACATGAAGTAGAGAAATATTTTTATTCATTTACCAATTAAACAACAATTGAATGTTTAAAAAGATTTTTAAAACCACACAGAAACAGATGAAGTTAGCCAGCTCTCCTGCCATTATTTTGGCCACCTTGCTTTTTACTGCTTTCCATTTTGCTCGTCCACAAGGTTCTAAAATAGTTATCTGTATTGTGCTGCATTTTTCATACAGGCATATAACGCTATTAACCCTAAATTTTTTATTTACTTTCTATTTTTTTCCTATGATACTTCACTCTTCACAAAATCATGTTTATTATACAGAGGATGATATATAAACTGTTTTCTGTGCTCAAAGAAAAAGTGAGTCCTTGTTAATCCTTGGAAAGAAGAGCAGCTATATATGCTTAGAGCAGATTAAGTATAGAAACATAAATAATTACCTCATTTTAATAATAATTAATATATTTTTATTTTAATACATTAAAAACTTGTTCAGTCTTACAAAGGCTTATGCGATGAAACCAGTAGTATGCAAAGTCCACTCCCAGGAGTGTCAAATACCACGTCCATGGTGAGTCCCAGGGCAGTTCAAAGAGTCTGTAGTTATTCCATACGCAGATATAACTAATTAAGTGAACTCTTCTGAATAAAACACTGAAACTGAGATCCAAAAAATTTTATCAATAATTTTGTCAACCTTAACTACAGAACCTTTTTATATGTATTTACCATTTATCAGATGGGAGTCATAAACTAGTCTCCAAGTTCTGCAGCCCCTGTCAAGTAATAGTACTATTGACTTCAGTGGAACGTTTGCTTGAGATTTACAAGGTTTTTAAAACCAGCTCTCACCCACTCACTGCCCATGTTGTGGCATTAGGCATGCTCAGTCTTCATGGAAAGGCTGAAGCACTCGCATGTGCTGCAAGTGTTATGATACTCCTGTTTTCGTAAATTTGGAAGAAACCCATCCTTGCTAACTCACAAGTCAGAAGTGACTGAAGCATAGTAGCAATTATGCTTAAACACTAATGTATGACATTAAAATACCTTGACTATCTTCATTGTACAGAAGGACATGGAAGGTGACATAATTTTAGGGAGCAGTCAGATATCTGCTCAGCATATTACTTCACTTGACTTTAAAAGAGCATAAATGAAGGAGGAGGAGACAAAGCCCAGTGCCTTTGAAAAGAAAGGAAAGGGTAACCAGTAGAGAAAAATGTCAGGACTGCCAGAAAAGGGGGAGAAAAGAAAAAAAACCCACAAATTTGCAAAGGCAGGAAAGTCACCAGAGAGCACCTTTATCGGTGCCAAGTTCCTGGACTTCAGGGAGTGAGCATCTACCATTGACCTAATGCAGGTCAGTGCTGAGACCAGGAGAAGAAGAAAGAACGTAGTTCTGGGATTGGCAGGCCAGATCCAGTCTTAACTCTCCACAGCTGTTTAGGTTAATAAAAATTTGGGTTACCACAGTCACACCTTCCCCTCAGTGCCCCATCACTTTCCACCTTATTTCACTGATTTGGAGGCTGAGCTGTTTCCAAATTGGTTTGGTTTTGCTGGGTGAGTTTTTGGACAGATCAGGAAGCATTAACCCCAGCATGAGAGATATCAGTGGGCACTGGGGTGGCCCAGGTGACAACTGGCTTAGGTCGCTGTGAAATGCAGACTGATGTATATTTAAACTGGCATTTTTGTAGAAGAGTGTAATCCACAGCAGGATTTGCACCAGTTTCTTCACACCTCCTCCTTCTACCCTCCTTTGCTGTGCTGATGAAAATGTTTGTGGGACTGTGGTGAACTGAACTGGGCAGCTTCTCAAAAGCAGCAAGAAGAAAAAAAGTAGGGAAAAGATAGTAATTGTTGGAAAATCACGCATACCCCTTTTTATGGATCAAATGCACCTCAGTTTATGGCCTAAGAATCAGAAATACAATTATCATTAACCCCACCATCTACACACAGGAAAAAGTAATCTAGTTCTCAGATGTTTTGCCGCTGGTACTTTTTGGGGGGGGGCGGGGGGAGGAGGTAGAAATTATCAGCAGAATACTACCTCTGTGCAAAGTTGTGCAAGGTTTTAGAGATCTATAAATAACATTCATGGTTGAAGGAAGACTGATACATTCAAGTTCAGGGAACTCCAAATGGAAATTGCAAATGGCATACCTGCAAGACTTGAATAGAGGTGGTAACAAACTGCACATATATGTGCACATAGGTGGCCTTGCACAACCTCAGCTAAAAGTCTATGACAGACCTACGTCTCTCACTCTAGTCTCACCTGGAACTTCACCTTACATTGAAATCAACTAAAAAAGTCTCCATGCATTACTCTGTCCATGTCTGCTTATTCTTGTCTCAGTGCCACTTCTCAATGGTCCTTCTTCCCAAACCCTGCTTTTTTCTTTTTTACCTTTTCCTTTTGTTTTCAGCTAGATTATTTTTACATAGTTCACAGCATAGCCCCCAAAGCACTTGAATCTGCAAAACAACAAAGGAACATACTATGTTCCTTCTCTTCTAAAGCTTTGTTTCACACACCTGGAAAACATCCCTGAAAACAGCCTGGCCATGTCCTGCCCCATTTGGGTAGCTGCACTGAAACACAAGGGAACCTCAGCAAACATGGCTCTTGCAACTTGCAAACCATCCCCCACGCTATGACTGAATTTTGCAGTTGCCTTCATATTTTTGCAGAGATATCCATTCAGAGCTTTTGGCATTAACACCTCTCCCCATAATAATGTTTTGAATAAGGCTAGAAGGAAACATCTTGAGCTTCTGTGCTGTTAGCTTCCCTACTAATGAGGAACAAAGTCAGCCAAAAATCCCAAGCTCCTGATACTAGGCTGCAAGCTGAATAGTGTTACATCCACCATTTTATCCCAAGAAGCGGAAGTGTTGCATGGAGTTGTTGCTTGGAGGGGAGAAGAGAACTAATAGCATTTCCACAGCCAGCTGCCACATCTTACCTGCAACTCTTTCCTCCCTTTACTACAATCATCTCAGTTTTTCTCTTGGACAAAAACAAAACACAACAAAACCCAAAAAGTTTCATTTCAGCAGCTGGCAGATGAAGAATTTCTCTTGAATAGCAAGGACAGGTGTATCTACCACTTCAAAAACAACTTCGCTATGCACATACACACCTGGAACATGTTTAATTTTCATAAGAGCTGTGTTCTATAAATATTTTTAAAGAAGATTATATGTGTCCAACCAGATTTTTGCAATTCATCTCATGAGGCATCTGTAAAGTTCAGTATAAATTCTCAATCCCTTTCACAACAGGTCAGAAGGGAGCTGATATTATTCAAACACAAAGAAATGGGCATTTCTTAACATCTTTTCAATGACCAGGAAATTTAAAACACCTCTTGCAACATAGAGTATCAGTTATTATTAGGTACTGTTTTCTTACTTTATTCTTTTGCTTTTATTAACTTATAATGCCTTTGCAGTACATCCGAAGATATGTGAATTGGTACATTTCCTCCATTTTTGATCAGCTTTCAGTATTTCACCCGAGTCCTTATTTTTTTTTCTTTTCCACAGGCTGAGGCCAAGGTGTAAAACTTGAGCTAACCCTGCAACATATTTTTAATATATGTAATTTGCTGTACATTCTTTCCTTCATGCTTGAATCGCAACTCTATAGCACATAACACTAGCTGGTTACTGTAATTAATTTAGAGTAATCCATCATATCACTATGCAATGCTGGAGAAAGAAGAATTGCTTAGCTAAGTTTTTTTTTTAAATTTACAGTGTGATAGATAGGAAACTCCAGAGTTTGCATTCAATTACAATTCTGAAAGTTCAATTGGAGTTTTAAACGTTTATATTGCCCCTTTTTTTCTCCCTGAAGTTCCATTTTCAGTTCTTGAAAATGCTGAAGAGAACTTAAGAAAACCTTTTCCTCATTTAAATGTTTGATTTTAACCATAAATGTGACAGAAGCAGATAGGTAAGACACTCATCATCTGGTTCAATCCTCTGCATAAGGAGTAATAAATCCTAGAATAGACAGAGTGTATGAAAACCTTATATACATTGCACAGATTTATCTTCTTGGATTTTGAACATTTCTGCTGAAAATTTTCCTATTATGTGCAAAGTATGCACTTAGGCAACTGTTTTAACTCTGAGAGTTCTCGTCTCCTTGTTTTCAAAGTTCATACATGCTTTTCTCAAAGGTGATGATATTTGTTTTAATAAACCATTTCCCCCCTTCTCCTCCACTGGGTCAGCTTATCACTTCCTCTAATTAAAAAAGTCCAAGAAGGAAATTCTGGGAGATGAACTCTCCGTGTGGAAATGAAGATCTGCTTATGGTAGATCCCCATGGGATAATAAAGGAGGGAAAAAGTGGAGAAAATTCAATTGGAAGAAAAGGCAACTGCCCATTTCAAAGAATACAAGGTCCTGTTTTGCTTCCTCCAACTCACAGATCAGCCCTAGAACCTAAACCTAAAGTTCTAGGAACCCTCTTCCATAATGCCCAGGACAGTTGTCAGAAGGGAAAAGGGTCAGAGACAGTAACTGTTGTCTCTCTTCCATGCATGGAGGAAAATCCATGTATCAAAAGTGCAGACCCCAAGGAAACTGCCTCAGCTCTCACCACTATTGCAGTCACCACCTTGCATCACACTGGGAACCGACCCGGGGCCCCTGAGCTAAAAACACAACTCTACAGCTGGACCTACAAAAGCTCAGCTCTCAAGGGCTCTAACAGACCTGCATCCTTGGAGGTCAGACACAGAGGGAAGCATGTTAAGACATCCTGGTCACAAGGTTATATTATCATTAAAAATAGTGAGATATTACTAATACAGTGTCCCTGGGTTAAATAAATTCCGTTTTCCTAGCCTGATTTAAACTACATGAATGTAAAGTTCCAGAATGTTGAACAAAGGCAGTTTCTCCTCAACAATTTGAAATTATTCAGACCATATATGTAACAGCAGGATACATGAATAATTAAATGCTCTGTAAGTCTTTGTTTCAGAGTGGAAAGCATAAGGATTTCCATTTCCAAGAATACTCAGAGCTTTCTTTTCCATATGAAAAACTGGCTTCAGTCACAATTGAAATAAACATTTTGATAACATGATTTCAGTAAAGAGAAGGGGGGTGGAGGTAGAGAAGCCTTGAGAAAAGGTCCATTTGCAAAACAAAGCAAACCTCCTGCAACTGAAATCCCTTTTATTTCCTGTACAGGTGCCAGGTCTTGAACAGACACCCAGTTTATTACCTTGTCAGCTGACTTATTAGGGTTGACACAAATCGAGCTGAAATATGCCTGACATACTGCAGTCAAGGCTTTTTTCACGCTTTAGCACAAAGCCAAACTTTCCACAAGGTGGAGGGAAAGGGAAAGGGAGCTGTGGGAGTTTTATTCCCTGTTTTCTATCATCAAGATGAATATGATCCTCTCCCATTCTTAATATGCAAAACCAGTCATGAAATAACCTAAGGCTAAAAAATAATTCACCAAAATGATACAGCTGGGAAATGATTATCAGGCTCTGGAAAGCCCTTGATTACAGGAAATAGCACCTACATTTTGAGAAAATGTTCCCACCAGACACAAAAGCTGAATCAAAGCCTCTCTTCTTCCTCAGTATGGCTTTCTTCTCCAGCATTTT